TCCCCAGCCAGCGAATGCTGGCTGGGGAATTCTGGGAGTTGAAGTCCGGACATCTTCAAGTGGCCAAGGTTGAGAAACACTGCTCTAATGCAATGGTTTATCCTCAGAGTTTCCCCACTTATCTGAAAAACGCTTTAATGGTTAGCAGCCTAATTTAGTCTAAATTATTATTTTATTTTAATGTTTCTGGTCTAGAGCTATCACCAGAGTGATAAAAGTGATTTGGGCTTTGAAAATGTGAGTTCAAAGAAGTGATAATTTGATTAATAAAATTGTGAGATTTGCAGTTCCTAAGGGCTTTTAAACTCAAAAAAGTTGTTGTGATATATTCATTCCTCACCAACAGTTTCACCAAGTGGGTTGTTGAACTCACTGAATAATGTGGTAGTAAAATTAAGTAATTAATAAGATTAGCATTTTAGTATAGTTGTAACCTAGGCAGAATCCAGATTCATGAGATTTAATTATCTTTTGCTAGTTTGAATAATATGTATTCAATTTCACAGAAAACATGCAAAAGATGTTTCCAAGGTGCTCTCTGTAAGAAGAATCCTAAAAAAAGAAATGGAAATAGATTGCTATAGCTTAACTAGAGGTTTGGAAAAAGAACAGATACCAGTGTATTATTCCTAAATCTGGGGAAATATTATGATATTCCCAATAGGTAGAATAAATATTTGCATATTTACATGAACAGGATTGACTTCGGCATCAAGGAAGATGGGATAGTATACTTAGACTTCAGTGAGGCATTTGACAAAGTAGACCACAGCCCATTTTGGTAAGCTAGAAAAATGTGTTAGACAGCATCACTTCCAGATGGATTTGCAACTGGCTGACAAAGCATACTCAATTAGTAGTCCTTATGGGTACTACATCTACATAGAGGGAAGTATGCAGCAGGGTACCACCAGGTTTCATCTTAGGCCCAGAACTGTTCAACATATTGATAAATTACATAGATGAGGAAATAGAAGGGGTAAATTTTCAGATGACATTCAGCTGGCAGATATATTCAACACCCCAGAAAATAAGTTCAGGATCCAAAAACATCTTGACAGACTTGAACAATGGACCTATCCAACAAAATGAAATTTAATATGAGAAAATATTTTAAATCTAGGTAGGAAAAACCAAAGATACAAGTACAAAGTAGGTGAAATCTGGTTCAAAAATAGTAACTGTGAGAGGGACCTTGGAAACCTAGTGGCCAATCAATTAAATGTGAGTCAGCATTGTGTTTCAGCTGCCAAAAAAGCTAATACATGCCTTGGTTTGAACAGAATGAATATCACACGAAGTACTAGTACCACTTTATAAATCCAGGTTTGGTCTTAGTAAGAACATACGTGGAATCCTGCATCCAATTTTGGTCACCACATTCCAAAAAAAGATGTTGAGACTTTGGAAAAAGTGCAGAGAAGAGCAACTAAGATGATTAAAGGCCTGGTGACTAAAACATATGAAGAATGGTTGCGAGAATTGGATATGGCTAGTAGAGCTAGTATAGAGAAAAGAAGGATTAGGGATGACACAATAGCAGTATTCCAGTATTTGAGGAGCTTTCACAAAGAAGAGAGTCAACTTATTTTCCAAAGCACTAAAAGGCAAGATAAGAAAATAATGGATAGAAACTAATCGAGGAGAGAAACTTCCTAACAGTAAGAACAATTAAACAATGTTACAGCTTGCCTTCAGAAGTTGCGGGTGCTTCACCACTTGAGGTTTTTAAGAAAAGACAGGACCACCACCTGTCTGAAAGGGTGTCTTGTTGAGCAGGTGGTTGGAGTAGAAGACCTTCAATGACTTCCAGCTCTATTCTGATTAAGGTCTGCTTACACCATTTAACCCATTTCAACTTTCTTCTGCAATGCTTACACAGAATATGTACATCTTATTGCTCTTATTTATTTCTGCAACAACCTTTCTGTAAGTTACAAAGTTAGTTCAAAAGTCACTCAGGGACCTTCTGTGACAGAAGGTAAACTTAAACCTTGGTCTTCCTGGTGGCAGGCCAGCTACTACTCCTATCCAAAGTATTGTTTGTGATATTATAAATCATTTTATGTTCATGTTGTAGTTATATATAGCTTGACAAATTTCAGGACTTTCAATCCTTAGTTAAAGTTCAATTTGGAAAGAGACCATACTTTGCTAGGCTTTGTGTATTTACAAATGTTGGTGAATAGACTCCTGCAGATGAATAAAATATTTGCTTTCTGTGATTTTCTTTATTTTTGCTTTCTTCTGACCTTAAATTGTTTGCTTCTGCCTAGTTATCATTGCTCCAAAATGTGGGAATTTCTGCAGAGTTACTCAATAATGTCAAAATAGTAGCTGTGAATGGTGAGTGAAGCCCAACGGTTGTGTCATTCATGCATTGCACATTTAAAACGGTAGGGGCTTCTGCTGCCTGATGATGCCCACTATTTTGACATTGTTGATCCAGCTGCAAATGCTTCTGCCTCCACTCTTTCAGTTTTGTGGAATGAAATTGAGAAAAATTATCTTTCTGGACCATTGGCCATACCAGCTTCTTCATTAGGTCAGATCTTACTGCTTTTTCCCAGATGGTTAAGAGACTATGTTTCAAGTCACCCATAGTGAGAGCTCTGAGTGAAGATTTTCAGTCAAAATACCTAAAAAGAAAATGATCCCATGGAATCATTGTGGGTCTTGAATCTAAAACCTCATCTGTTTTGTTTTTCCAATGTGGCCCCAACACAATACACAGATAAAGATTTGATGAACTTGATGGATTTCCCACTTACACATTTGTTAGTCCAATCACGTTTCAATTGCTATGAACAAGGAGCATATCAGTACAATACTTGCTTCT